TGATATGTTATTTGTGTCATTGTTTTCTCGGCATATGCTTTTGAAAGTTTTCCAGAAGGTGGACGGGTCGGGTTAATTAGTTTTCCTATATCATTTTTGACTGAGTTGATTTGTGTCTTCAGAGTGGGGTTTCTGGAGTTGATGAAGTCTTTGCGAAGCTTGCGTCGGGATAAAATTAGCTTGTGGATTGCGGGAGTTAGTGACCAGTGGTTGGGCGTGGTATTGGTGTGGTTTTTGGGTACTAACTTGTCTATGGTCTTGGATATGGCTTGTGATATACTATGGTAATATTGCTCAATGTCTTCTTTGGTATTAGCGAAAGTTAATGGGTCGGGTAAGATGTTGTCTAAGTGTTGGTTGAAAATGGTCCATTTAACTTTCTTGAAGTTGGGATTGGTGGTGGGCTGCTGGTGTAGATTATTGGGTGAGTCCAGTTCGGGTTGCTGATTTTGAATGACAGTGGGTTGTGGTCTCCGCCAATGTTTTCGTGTACTTTAAAGTTACTAGTGAGGTGTACTATTGCGGGTGGAACTAAGGCGAGGTCGACAATGCTTTGAATACCGTTGTAATGCGTGTGGGTAGGGGAGTTGTCGTTAATAACAGTGTAGTTGTGTGAGATTGGCGATGATCCTACCAGCAGTGGTAGTGGTAAAACCTTGGAGGAGGGGGTGAGAAGCATTAAGGTCTCCGAGGATTATTACATTGTCTCGTTTTCGTTTTTCCTGGCAGTTATTTTGATTTAAAAATAATTATCTCCTAAGAAATAATTACTAATCAAGGGTGCTCGAAGATTAAACAATCCTCCTTCACCCGGTTACATTGTCTCCTTTGTCTAGCGCACTTATATACGATAATACCGCCCGCGTAGCCTCTTCGAGAATCTTCTAGACACTCATCACGTGCTACCAGCGTCACTTGACTTCCGCTGTCGTAACAATAGGATTCAGTTGCATGGAGGCATGAAAAAGGATTTTGTCTTCTTTACTTTGTGTTTTATAGAAATTTATATATATATATAATAAAAACTATTTTCCTTTAAATTGAAAATTAAAGCTATGTTGCACAGTTTAATAATAAATAAACTTAGTATTCCGAAAATTGTTTAATTTCGAAGTCTAAGTTCAAGAGAGGTCCAGTTCAGTCTACACTTTGATCAACGTGTGATATTGGGTTGTACTAGCTTCGGAGAATTCCGCTCCTCATCAGTAACCCTGAACACAATTTAACCAAAGAGACATAAGCTGGACCTATATCATAGTGAAAAATATCAAACATACTGTTGGTGTGAACGTGCTTTGTATTCACTGTTGAAATTAAGTACGCAAGGGTGGCTAGTGCCCTGAACGAAGAATATAGTGGTGACCATAAAAAGTGATTTCAAAACATGTTATTAATTATTTGTTGGTGCTATTCCATGAATGAAAAATGTCAAACTGTTTTGGAATAGTTGAATTATAAATATTGCTTCTGTTGTAAGCTATACTTTTTAATGTTGTATTTTGCATGTTAGCTAGAGGGCGCATGATGTTAAGATAAGTCTATAACACGGGAAAGCACTAAGTTGATTACATTGACAAGTTTTTCGTGTATATTTGAAGCTAGATTATAAACACAGGATAGTTATTTCAAGATAGAGTGAATCAGTCAATGTGTCTTTGTGAAGCATTTGGATGTATGTTTTTATCACGCTTATTGAGATATTTTGAGCAAGTAAGTTTGTTTTATGTTAGTCCTAGTATTGTTAAACTTAAACGGGTTTGAACGTCATTCGTTTATGTAGGCCTACAAAACTTTACGAGGTAAAAAAGGAAATAAATTAATTTGTGATTAATACGTGGACTGGAGTTGAATTACTTTCACCAGATAATTTCCAAAAACCTTCAAGGAAAGAACAACACAAAACCATTTCTATTATGAAAATCCAGAAAAAATAAAATACAGGCCTAATGCTTTCAAGAGATGCCTGTACTGACAGTAGATGTATTCATCAGTGTTGAATAATAAATGCACAATTAAGTTGTACATGTAAATTTGTTTATATTATATCTTCCGATCAAGTTAAGGATTACTGTCCTGGATTATCAAAATTTAGGATAAGGACTAGTAATTTGCTTTTATAAACTTTTGCTACGTGATCTTTGTAGTTGTAGAGCCTAAACTTTGAATTTTCCAGGCTTCACACAGCAATACACAGTTATTATTGAGTAATGTTGTTGTTTTTTATAATGCAAAGCTACACAATGGGTTATCTGCACTCTGACCACTGTGGGGAAACCAAACCCCTGATTTTAGTGTTTTAAGCCTGTAAACTTCCTGTTCAATGATTCATGATCAGCATCAACGGTTAGACTAGAGTTCAGTTTGAGAATCTTCTAACATACTTTAGTAATTTAGCTAAGATTAATGAAATATTTCTATTTCTAGTAGTAGCTTCAAATATATATTCATTCAAACATATCATGTCGTGCTATTCCATGGACATGAAATATATTTGTGTATTAGTGTTTCCCGTCAGCACTTGGTATCACGTTTTGTGAAAGTTTAAGTGTTTCATCACAAGCTAAACTTACACTTACAGCACTATGGTTGAAGTATTTGACTATTATAGTTGATTGAGTTCACGCACTGGAGCATGTATTGATAAAATTAAAACCAGATTCGAAAACTGAAGTTTGGTCTTCCTTTGTTTGAGTTTTTCATTCTCCGTCTTTTTGAAACTTGAATCTTGATCTAGTGAATTAAAATTTATTTAAGCTTTAAGTTGCACTGAAGTAGGTGGACAATTTTGATAATTTTTCAGCATAGTTTATTTTCTAGCATAAAAATAGTGTCTAGTGGTACTTAATACAGGCTGTCTTTTGCAATATTGTAGTTATATTGGTCATCTATGTTGACAGCGGGGTTGAGAATCGAAACACAGGAACGGTAAGATTAGTAAGAATAGAAATGAATGTTCCACACTCATTTTCATGATGAATATTAATCATTAAAAACTTCTATTAGTATTATACAAGGACTTGAAGTTGAAGAAGTAAGTATTTTCAAACTTCCGTAATCCAAGAGAGTTAACTACTTTACATTTCTCACTACTGAATGTGAAACTCACTTTCCTTGTTTTTACATAGTAAATTAGTATCTAACACTATTCAGATGTTTTGAGAAAGAATAACACTCCCTTCAATATCAGCTGGAAATGGAATCTTAGTATCATCAGAAAATTTAGAAATATTAGATATTTACAAATTATAGTCTAAAAGGCTACTTTGTATCTCATAATGAGTCATACTAATGTAGGTTCATAATGTAGATGTATTGTTTAATATTATAAAAAGAGATAATTGCAAGGTTTCTTTTCTTCAGGACTTTTTCAGCAATTTTTAAAGTGGTGCATAAGACCTAAATTTGGAATTTTGTGTCATTCTACTGACAGTTGGTAAATTTGGTAGATATATAAAGATATTGAAAACACAAATATATTTTTGTATCATCATCACTGATAAGTTCCTTTTCTTATGATGACAGACTTTTTCTATAAAAATATACATTATTTGAAGTTTATACACTGTCCTTTGGGTATCTATATTACTTAAGCTTGCAAACTTGCAGGCTATTGAATCTGACATGCAGGCTAGTATGTTATTAGTGGGCCAAGCTGCTGAGCAAGAATTGTCAATGATAGCAAACACTACTCTTACTCATTTTGTTAACTGATGGAGATTAAAACTTAAATTGGAAAATTTGCAACAGTTTTTTGAATACTTCTTTTGTATTTGCTTCACACAGTATTTGTTGTGATATGTTTTTTACTGCTATGTTATAAAATGCTAAACTGCCACAAAACTGGAAGTACTGTCTCAGTTGGCATATTCTTGCACAATCAAACACTACTGAAGATATGTAAAATGAAACACCTTTTTATAGTTACAGAGTGAAATATTGACTATTTAATTTCTAATAATAAATGCTTCAGGTACTCTAAATGTTAATTTTTTCATTTATTTCAGTGGCAGTGCATTTTAGATTATGTTTTAGTCATGATTTGGGGGAAAATGAAGGGTTTTTGCCATTGGGAATATGATTGATATTCAGCCCCAAATTGGCACTAGAAAAAGCTTTGCTTGTGCTTATTTATTTGAAATTTTCTTTTCAAGTTTTTGGTAACAGTTTTTTCACCTGACTTCAGTGTTTCAGTATACAGACTATTTTGTTAATAAAAGAATCTTGGTTGTTACTCCTTATCTTTACTTTCTGAAATTTTTTGATATGACTCAAGATATTAATAGAAAGTTGAATTCTTATAAAATTACCGAAGAACCAAAACATCTGAAAATGATTGTTGAAACTGTGACTAAAAGCTTGTGGATTAAAGAAAACACAATGTGAAAAAGAAAAACTTCACATTTATTATTTATCAGAAATATTGATGTAAATAATAAACAATAGAGCATTCTTATAAGGGACTCACTAATCATATTTCACAATTGACCTTTTATCACCCTCTTCTTCTATTTTTGTTATTAAGCCAATTTTTTGTACATTTAAGTTTTTATCAATTTCATAAGAATTCACCTTTCCAGTTAACCTGATGCCCTAAAAAACTAATGAAATAATTGGACAAGAAATCTTCTAAGACAATAGTGACTATTGTTTATTAAATGACAGTTTTTAAAATACTTCTTTAAATGATCTCTGCAATAGATTTTAGTACCTTGATAACAACATAAATTAAATTTATAGGTCTTTCATATATTTATAAAAATATGAATTATACTGTCACTATATTTGCAACCTTCCAACGATTAGGTACTTCATTACTTTCAAGTAACATCTGAAAAACAACAGTTGAGGTTTGTGCCACTAACTCTGTTTTTGAAAGTTTTATGATAAATCTTTTTGGAATTAGGAAATGTGCTCTCCAAATTAATAATCTCTTTTAAAATCTCAACCATAATACTTACACTTTTCCTTTTTACAGTCTATATACGCATAAAGGAATACATATTTCTTTTAAAGTTTGAGTGAAATGGTAAAAATAAATCATTAACATTTTTCTCATTAATTAACCACTCAATCTTTCTCTCAGAATTTCCTGATGTTCATAAAATCAGGGATATTACTCTTATTCAGTGTAAACTTCAAAAATGATGCTAGGATTGTAAGTGCTCTTGCACAACAGTATACTTCTTTATATGAATAACAAGATCTAAAATATCATCCTTCATAATATGATCTCTGCAGGTGTGCCATTTCAGATTTCATTAGGGGGAGGGCAACTTTTAGAAGTTCTACAACTTTAGGTAAATAGGACATACTTACCAACATATTTTTTATATTAAAGTCTCAGATATTTTAAAAGCCTGTTTTTCTGAACTGAAGTAGCAGTCTATCTTTACATCATTAGGAGGCCTGTAAAAGTTGCCTTTGAGTAATCATCTTTTTACTCTTTCAGAAATCTCAACCTAAATTCCCTACATTTTTTCTAGTATGTGTGATATCACTTCAGTTCACTTATAAAATTATCCCTCTCCATGTATTATTTCGATGATCTACTCTATAAAAGATCTTAAACTTTCTAAAATAACATCAAAGTTATGCTAGTTACAGCCAAAATAATAGCTGGAGGTGAGATTGGAAATAAAGGACAAAGAAAATTACACAAACGGGTCTAAAAGTCAAAAGGTATTTTAGAAAACAGTATCAATAACAGCTAAGCCAAGCCCAAGCCAATTATTGAAACCACATAAACCAACTGAATTAATAATTAAGCTCTTATTAATACAGTTTTCTAATCAATGGCTTCCCCTTATAGGCTTCCCATTGTTGTTTAACACTTGCTATAAACCCTACAGTTCTGTTTATTGTTTCTTTTAATTTGTTTGCTTTGTACATATATATATTATTTTACCTGTTTGTGTAATTTTCTTTGTCTTTTTTTTCTGTTATCTTTCTACCCTTGTCTTTATTACCACCACTTCTAGATTAGATCAACCCCTGCTTTTAGTATTAGTATTAAAGATACTCAAGTTATTTTGACTACTTCCCACTCACCTCTCCAAATAACTATTTAATGTTTTAAAGCCTTCTCTATCTTTCACTTTCTCATTACCTTCACAACAGTAGTATAATACTTAAGCCTAATTTTGCACACTTCATTAGAATAAATGTATTTTGTAATAAAACATTAATAAATAAATAGAAACAAGTGCTATTGTTTTATATGAGGTACAACTTAAATGAGGTATTTGTAAAAGGTTAGTAATTAATTTTCCTTTTTTTTTGTTTTTATAGGTGAAAAATTAAGCAAAGCTCAAGTTATGAACAAAACTTTGAATCAGCTTGTAGACCAGAAAATACAGAGTTCTCCTTCAAATGTGGCTCTTATCTATTCAGATGGTGAGCAACAAACTAAAGTGACTTACCAAGAGCTGGCTAAGTTGAGCAATTCCATTGCAGAAGAGTTGAGTTTGCTTATAAACCACCCTGTTGAACTACCCATTTTATGCATCTGTAAACAATCAATCCTTGCTGTTGTAATATTGTTTGGGTAAGTAGAGACATTCTTTAAACTAGGGGGAAGAGTTAACTAAAGCTGTGCCAGGCATCATGTGAAATGAAGATTATTGCAACTCATAGTTTGTTTAATATACCAGGAATGTTCTTCAAAATAAATATTGAATTTTTTTTTTTTTTGTCAATAAACCTACAAAAGGTTGAAAATATTTTCATATCTTATCATAAGCTTTTAACTTGAGATAGTGTGGGCTATCATATTATGCCATTGTATCAAAAAATATCTGCATGTATGTATTTAGAGTTACAAAAAGTATTTATTGTCCCTATTGTTCCCTAATTTTACCCATTTTTTTAATTTTTCTTTGAGGATAACTTAGTTAGGAATTAAAATTTCTCCATTATTATTCTTTAAAAGAACAGGTTGATTTTTTCTCTTTTATATACAATATTTAAGCAATTAAGAGGATAAGGGATGTAAAGTTTTTTTATGTACTACCCCTAGGTTAGTAGACATAAAAATGTATTAACTCTAACTGAAATTATACTAGCCTAACTTCTTTTCCTTCCTCACTGTAATGACTAGATTATTACACATTGTTAGTACATATATATCTTTTCAATGTAATGCATTTTACCACAGTATTACAAAACTAAAAATAATATGATTTGCTACAGCTTGTGTGGGGCAGATGTAAAATCTATGGGCATGTTGACCAGTCTACATATGAGTCAACAACATCAAAACAACCACACACAGGTCTGGCATTTGGAACATTGCACTCTTTTTCCCTTGTATTTAGGTAAAAGGCCATAGAATTCCAAGTAGGTTGTCAAAGTTATTTCAACCAAACATAACTGTTTTGTCTTGTATCAATAACACTTTGAATTAAAACTATTATAATTCTAGTGAAAAATAATCATATTGATTAGAAAGTGCTATAAATACAAAAAGACATAATTGTGCATTTTAAATTACAAGTTTTTCAGTAAGTCATTCATGTAGTTATGTATATCAGGTGTGTGAAATATTAGCTTATCATCATTAAACAGGCTACCAATCTTACAAAAATTTCATTGACAGCAGATATTTACTGCCTTTAAAAAAATAATGGGTAGCAATTTTAATAATTGAATATAGTTAGATTAGAACTGGGCAATTCACTCAATTAATCAATATAATTGATTACTTGTAAGCATCAATTAATGTTACATAAATAACCAACTAATCAACATTTTTGTTTCAGATTATTACCATTTTAGATTATTCAACCTATCCAAGTCTCATGTGAGAACAATCGATTAGTGGAATGTAATGAATTAATGAGTGAGATGATTAATCGATTATCAAATTACACTAATAATTGCTCAACTCTAGTTTTAATATCCCTAACTATACCATTAAATCTTTACAGGTTATCAGTCATGTTTCAAAGCATTCAAATGTATCATAGAAATAATTGAACATAAGGGGTAATAGCTTAAGAAAGCCAAATCAAGACTTGTTCTTTAGTAGTGTTCTTTTTTATTGGAGTTATTATTAATTTGTTGAATGATTTGCTTTATGAAATGGATTCCATTTGAATTTTGTTGAAAAGGTAAATATTTGGATATAAAAGAATGTCCTTAACCCATTCACTGCATCTGGGACGTATATTTCCCAGTACAGTGGGAAAGATGCGTCCCAGCCGCAGTGAAAAGGTTCAGTTTGGTTTTATGTTTTCTTTTCTAAAAGGGTGGCTTTAGTAAGTCAAGTGTCTCCTGTCAACTTGTACTTCATTTCAAGAGGTTGAGTTAGTGTATTATCAGGCAGGTGGATGCTGGAGGCTTCTTTTATCTATATTTTTCTCTGTGTGGCTCATATCCCATTATTTTCTTATCATCCTATTTCATCGTTTGGTCTTCTTTTCTGGTATGATGAGCTATTGCAGTCTTGTTTGTCTATTAGGTTCCTGAATTCTTATTTTGGTAGATCTTTTTGCTTCTTCAGTGATCACATTCACAAGGCATAATGTAAATGTGTTTTGCTTTCCATTTGGTGGTTTGATGTCTACTAACTGTAATCATATTGTGCTGTGGTTTCTAATACTGTTCTGACTTTACACTGTTTGTGTATCTTCTATGTATGATTTCAGAGAGACCTCTGACATAGGATAATATGACTGTATGTTTGTAACTTTATTCTTGCTACTTTCAGTTTTCTCTAGTTCATGTGTTTAGGGTATTCATTGTCAAGCAGAGATGTACTAGTTTTTTTCTCCCTCCTTAGCATCTTCTGTATTACAAATCTTATTCATTCTAGAGCATAGGCTAGTATGTTATGCCTGTCTTTACACTTGGTTGGTTTGATTTATAGCTGAAGTATTTACCAGTATCTATGGGTTTCCTTCAAATTTCCGCTGTATATGAATTATGTGTCTTGATAACCATCATATATAGGAATGGGAATTGTTTTCTATTTTCTTTGTAAATTGTCATGGTAAGTGGTTCATGACTTCTGGAATGTTGTTAGTGTAGCAATATTATACATGTATGAAAAAAAGTACCAGTGACAAATCCTAGTTTTCTGAGTAGCTTTTTAGAGGGCATTATCTTCAAAATGTCTCGCGTATAGATTACTAAGTCCTGATGATAGTGATCATCCTATGGCTGGGACTTGTTGTTGGTAGTATTTATCTTTGTGTTAAAAATAGGTTGTGTTGATACAGAAAATTGTGTGTTCTGTTATCATTGAAATTGAGAGTTCTATCATTTTCAAGCTGTGGACAGAGTATCTGTAGTATTTCAGGGTTTAGTAAATTAGTGAATAGGTTAAATACATTATAATTTGTCAGTCTTCAGGACAAAAAGATATTCCAGAACTAATTTGAATACTGGGTAACCATTAAAGGTAAGCTGTTGTGGTTATCTATCTGCAATTAAGTCTTTTCACATTTGGGATGTCATCTTCATAGTTTAATTCATGAGTGAAATGTTAATTACAGTTTAGATCTTCAGTTCCAAAACCTTTTAAGCAGCAGGATTCAGCATCATCACATATAAGTTCAATGGACCAATTCAATTCATTTTTATAGTTTAAAATCTGTTTTTTCTTAACACACATTTCTATGGGATGGCTTTTAAGTGCTAGATATAAAAGTGAAAAATGATACAATGTACTATCATTTGTATTCCATTAGTTACACAAAAATATATGAAATCAGTACAATCAAACTCTTTACCATAATTAAATTTACCAATTTTGCAACCTTATAAAAAGTTTTGTAACTCATTTTCATGGCCAAATAACATTTCTAACTGGGGTCTGGAAACAAATGGTATAAGGCATGAAAAGCAAAACATAGTGTCTGAAATATACTGCAAGCAAGTAGACAGACTTTAAGAATAAAATATTGTATTTTGTAAGACACTTTTAAGAATAACAAAGTTAAGAAGAATTAAATACTAAAAATAAAAATTGACTGAAACTGTTATAAATAGCATTATAACATTTAATGTTTTTTAACTTCATGTGAAAACCAAAAGTCAAACCAAAGTGATTAGTCAAATTCAGGAGATCCATTAAGGCACATAAAATAATTTCAAACATACAGAGGAACTACAAAAAATACAAGATTGTAGATTCATGTTCAAGTGATAATTTTTATTATTTATTAGTCATTTATTCCTATACTGTCTGTAATATTAGCTCATTAGCATGTCTGTGGAGTTTTTTTCTTTGTTGTTACTTTTATAAGTATACAGCAAACCATGAAATATTTACATGAATCAAATATCATAAAAAAAATCCCACCTTTTTTAGTATAAGACACTCGCATCTCTTTAGCAACTTCTGGTTAACATGATGAAGTATGTGTATATTTTATGCTTCAAATTTTAATCAAATATTATTTAAACGTGAAAGAATGTTTTGAGTTTATATAGTTCAGAAAGATGTACTAATTTCTTTTATTCTTAAGACAATTTCAATACAATCACCATAGTACTGTTTTACTATATCAACTAAAAATATAAAATTGGAAAAGTTTAGAAGATTTATTATTTAATTTTAAAGTATCATGATATAGTTTTGAGTGTCAAACCAAATTCTTTTTACTTATATGTTTGGCAGTTTTAAGCTTCACTGTGTATACAAAATATTGCAATTGCTTTGCAGCTAGTGCTTATTTAACATTATATCAGTTTTTATCCCAAAATGCAGCTGAAATGTCATTTAGAACACTAATGGGTGTATTTTTTTTCACATTGCACATTATTTGTTTTTTCACCAAACTTATTATTGCAATCCATGGAACTTTTTTAGAGGGCAAGTGAATTATGGCTCTTGTAAGAAATTGTAAAACTCTCTTAACAATGAAACAGTACAAACTTGGTGTCCACCTTAAAACAACAATAAATATAAGTTCCTGGTGCTTCAGTGTTTGTAATCAAAGAATTTAAAATATATGTCTCACCAATAAATCTTTTGGTTTACTTCTTTTTTTTTTTTGTCAGTGTCTTAAAATCATCATTTTACTTCACCTTTCTAGACCTTCGATCACCTCTCACTTTCTTAAGTAATTTATTGAATATAGTGCAGCTTGATCTTGTTATTGCAGAAAAGAACCTGTTTTGGGTAAGTTTTTGTGCAAGAAGTAATTTATTTACATATCTTGGTGGAACTTGTAAACCTTTACTTAAGAATTACTCAAGAAAAATATCCAACTTAAAGACTCTTAATTGTTTTTGCTAAGCAATAATGGCCACATTGATCAACATTTTCTTTTAGAAAAAAAGTATTACACAATTATGGATCAGTAGTTAGTAATAATAACTAGTAGTTAGATTTTCTCTATAGTTCTAGAATAAAATCAGAATGTTGTTAAAACGTTCAAGTACTGAAATGGGTAATGATTGCGGGAACACTTTTTTTTGTTGTTGTTGTTGGTCAGTTAGCTTGAAAAGCTTCCTAAAAGTTCAAGCAAAAGTTGGAAACATAATCCAATTATTGTTATATACTGGCACAGTTCTGCCAGGAGTGTTCTTATCTATTAACCTTTTTAGGTTAGCAAAATGGTTTGCTTCACATACAGTCAGAATATGAGACATTTCAAAGTCTCTACAGTAGTTCCAAGAATAGTAGGAGAGAAATTAGCATTATACCTACAGGAAAATACTGTGATGACAACTGGATATTGAAATTGATATTAATGATGCAAAATATTTTTACCTTATTTTGCTTGTACCACTGTTTGTCTTGTTATACATGTAAATTTACTTTAGTACAATGAAAAAATCTTATTACTTAGTTATTTTGAAATATCTTCTATTTTAACAAAAATGTTCTGTAGCAGGTCCATAATACATTGTATTTTTTAAGTAAACCCAAATAGGTGAGCTTAAAGGAAATTATTAACATTTACATTAGATGGGTTATTAGTTTCAAATTAATCTTTCTTAACTTAAGCTCTGGCAGAACTGCATTTTAAAACTTTTAAAACTATGCTATTAGTTTTAATAACTTTATATTACAACTGCCAATTACTGAAACACTTAAATGATTAACCAGGCAGAAAACTGCCTGTTTTAATTAATTTTACTAAGTAACATGTAATAACTAGCTTAAAGATTGACTCATCTAACACTGTTACCAATATAAAAAATAAAACGATCAACTGACATCTTCCAAGGATGGGACGACAATATTTAACAAGTTTTTTATATGCCGTGGTTTATTATAACAATCCACAAAATTTCATCATAATGGTGTCTGAAATTAGTCAAAGTGAGATAGTTATATCATTACTTTATTTACCAGTAGTATTCCCCCCCCCCTATTGGCTAAGCAGTAAGACTAGGGACTTGTAATGCTAAAAATCAAGTTTCAATATCTGTGGTGAACACAGCACAGATATCCCATTATTTAACTTTGTGCTGAACAACAAAGAAATAACACTAGTAGTTATATTCTTGTATATTATCTGAATGTTTGATGTTATTCATAGGAAAAATTAATAAATCAAAGAATAATATTTGTGAATCTTACAACAGAAATTCCCAGGCAGCTCCCAAACTTTGATGTTAAATTGTATGAATATTTTCAAGCTAAAACTAGATACTGTTTAGTAAATTTGAAGTAAGTTTTATGCAATTTGGTTAAGTATTTATTTCCACCGTAAGAAGGAAACAAATCAAGGAATATCAGTGTCATCCGTTTCCTCCAATCCAGAAAGAGTTAACCAGTGAGGTGAAAACTTGGATTTGTGGCATTTAAGGTGCTGTAGTTTAGTTGACTAAGGCTTATACCTGCTAAGCGGAGTCACTTGTTTGAATCTCGCACAATCATAATTTCCATTTCTCAAAAAAAAATAATGTAGCCATTCTGCTTTTTTTACCCTTATCCATAATTACTTAGTTTTATATTTTGCCTTTGTTACTCATGTAAAATTTTCTTATCTTCCTATTAAATATAAAAGTATTACCAATAGAGCTCTTGTTTTACTTTTATTAGGTTGAATTCCCATAACAATCTTCTGTCTTCTCATTAAACATAAGGATTATATTTCTCCTTATAGGGCATATTTGGCAGTCCTCTCTTATTCAAATTAGTTCTAGCTCCTTGTTTAAGGTGAAATAATTATATTAAATACAATAACCTTAGGTTTAATTTTGGTGTTTCTTAGCTTGATGTAGATTGCTTTTTATGAAACCAATGAAAGCTTGAACCAACTCCTCATAGTTATTATCTAGTTTCTTCCACCATGTTGTCTGTTTCTTTAGCAATTCTGATAAGTGGTAGCAAATAGTGCCATTCATTTAATGTTAGTGGCTAGTCTTCATATAACAGATTCATCTTTACAGTGTATTTTATCCCTTGTTTTAAGCATTACTACTGTGCTCTTGTATCCTCTATCAAAGTCTTTCCCCAGCACAGTCAATGTTATTGTATGTTGTAATGAATTTAGTTCATCAAACAAAAGTTATTTATTCTAACTATCTTTACCACATAAAGATATTCCCATGGTTTTAAATTTAAAACTAACAATTGAAAGCTAAATAGCTGGTACTTACATGATGTGTAGAGTATCACTGTATTTGTTTATGCTTATACCTAGGATCCAAAGTTGCTCCAAAATATAACTAATTTCATTTATTCACTATGATATGTATGAAGCAAGAAATTGTCAGCTTTTCCTCTAAATCCAGTCAAACATGCTTATTTAACAGTTACTAAAAGTTAATATATGGTGGAAAGAAGAATGTAGTTATTAAATTCAGTTTTGATACTAAAATGTTAATTTTGAAAACCTTAAATATATTTCTTACTTCAATACTGATATAGTTACATTAAAGAAATTATGCTTTTATTTAAAGTTGTAAAGTACAGTCAAGTTGTAAAATCATGATCTTGTTTGAAGGAGCTAATGAGGTGTTATAGCTTAGGGGTTGTCTTAAATAGTGTTAAATAATTAACAGGTTTGTTGTAATAATATTTAGAATTATTACTATAGACAGACAGAATAGTTAAAGATGTATAAAAGGAAAGGTAGTGTTATGCATATTTGTTAACTTAGTTTTTTCACTAGGATTTACAAGAAAAATTCAACCTCAAATGGATAATACTCAGAACTCTACAGACACCAGTTGGAGAACTCATATTTCTTAGAATCAGAAATATATTTAAGGACAAGGAAAGTTCTGGACCTGATGAGCTCTCTACATCTTTAAATAATGATTGTCAAAATGACCATTTGACTTTGAAGCTCAAGTTAGCCTATCTCATACAAACCTCTGGAACAACGGGAATACCAAAAGTTGTAAAGGTTCCACATTCATGTATTGTTCCAAATATACTTCATCTAAGGTAATAAATACTCATAACTAATTTGATATAATCAGTGTGTGGGGTTATAAATTCTAGTTGATATTTGTACACAGTGAAACGGTGTTACTTTACTCCAGTAAATGTTATTACACAGTGAAATAATATTACTGTACTCCAGTTAATATTCATACATGTTTGTTCATAGAACTGTGATGATATATACCATTTCATATTTGTACAGTATCCATATACAATGATCTTAAGCTACTTTATTATAGTTAATGTTTACTCAGAGTAAAACTAAGCTACTCTATTCCACTTAATGTTTGTACTGTATACATATACAGTGATCTTAAACCATGCCTCCACAGATATTTTCAGATCTAGGAGCCAGCCCATAAACTCAGGAGCCATGTGTGCCTAACCTAACTTCGCTACTGTTTGTACCAGGAAATGAGAGCTACACTAGTGCCTCGATTATCTGCACCTCCGTTATCCGTGTTTTTTTCTTTTCCCCAAATTTTCTTTAGACAATAATTTACCTATTTTGGAGAAATTGTGACTCAGAAATTAATTTTGGTTGCAAAAGTTCAGGTGTTGCATGATATCTGGAGTTTTTGCGTGCAGGATCTGGCATGTGTTAAAATTGTGAGTCGGCCAGTTCAAGCCTAGCCTTGCCTCTTTTATTTTTAGCTGTTAAGACAGGAATATGAAATATTTGTAGCTTCGTTAACTTTATTTGATTAGTGATAAAAACATAGTTTACAAAAACACACAAAATGCATATTAAGATTTCTTAAATATTTCACTCAGCGTCAGTTGTCCTCTGTTCTATGCTGCACGGCAGGCATCCTTTAATTACAGATGCATGTTCAGGTTGTGTTAGGGTGTTGCCCAGTTATGCATTGTTCTCTTCCCTACAGATAATTGGTATCTTCAGTCTGTTTTAACAAAGGCTTTTTCATAATAATTCCCAAGCATAGTTCTGAGGAGCTAGTTATTCACAGGCATTGATAGGGTGAAAATGCACCTCCATGTCTATAGCAGAAAAAGTGCAGAAATTTAGGAGCCATTTATACCTACGTTAGCAATTAAATTCAACTAAAATTGGAACAGGCAATCATAAGAGGAAGTATTATAGGAGAAAAAGTGGAATTGGACTGTATCTCACAAAATTCCAAGAAATCGAGTGTGACCAACTGACTGACCGACTAACGCTTTGCTTTTATGATTGTGACAACTTTCATAATTTTTCATGATAATGTGATTAAACAACATTAAAAAGATTATACTTTAAAACAAGGAACTTAAATATAATGAAAATTTTATTTAGATTAAAGAATTGGTTAACTAGAGATTATCTGCTGTTTCTGTTATCTGTGATTTTTTGCTTTCATCAGACTAGTATGGATAATCGAGGCACCAGTGTATATTTATTTACTTTTACAGCAACGAGCGCATGCTAACGATCGCATGATATCAACAATCACTTGATAGTATTGCCAAAACTAACTGCCTTTGGTTCCGTCTGAGTCTAAAGATGTGCACTGATTGGTTGAATTGAGAGAAAGAAGAAAAACTAAATAGTGCGAAATTAGTAACATGATGTGCAACCACAGAACTTCATTCCTGAAAAAACATGAAGTGCTGAATCTACCATTAAAATCCTAGAAACGAAGTTTGATTTAGGACTCAAAGAACACAGAAACAGTTCCGGACTTTCAAGAGTCCAGAACTGTTCTAGAATCTAGCTCTATTTAGCACAGCCCTATACACAAATAAAATGGAAGAAAATACTAAGCGCCACAATGAAATTTTTAGTCACCATGGAAATCTGGCGCATGGAATTTGTTGAGACCTATCTTAAACTACTTTATCAAAGTTAATGTTTACACAGAGTAAAACTAGGCTACTATATTTCATTTAATGTTTATACAGTATACATATACACTGATCTTAAACTGCTTTATTAGAATTAGTGTTTATACAGAGTAAAACTAGGCTACTATATTTCATTTAATGTTTATACAGTATACATATATAGTGATGTTACACTACTTTATTAGAGTTAATGTTTACATAGAATAAATTTAATTTGCTCTATTCCACTTAATGTTTGTACTGTATATACATATCCTGGCTTCCCAAAAGTTTGTAATAAGTGTGTGGAATCCCAGAAAATTATTTCTGTTTGTTCTACACTTGAATCTTAAGAAGACCAGTAAAATGATATTTTGATGTTGGTTTACGTTACTTAAACTCACATTATGCAAACATGTTTCAAGCAATATTAACTTTAGTCTTTTATTATATATAAAAAATTGAGTTCAGCTAGGATCAACATTTTGTAATTGTCCAGCACAATATAAAAGATTTGAGTTATTTTAGTGTATGAAATTCCATTAAGTTATTAAACAATTTTAAAATGTAATATATTAAAATAGAAAATAGTTTTGAAGAACTTATTTTTTGAATCTGTGTATATAACTGAATCATATCTGCTTGTGAACCTTATTTCATTTATCAGATCACTCTTTTCTATTGATGAAAAGGATGTTGTTCTACTTACCTCACCCTTCACCTTTGACCCCAGCATGGTGGAAGTTTTTACATCCTTATCATCAGGAGCATCTTTACTGATTGTACCTGATTTTGTTAAAACTATGCCTGCAAAGTTAGCAAGGATTGTCCAAGAACAAAAAGTATCAGTATTACAAGTAAGATAATTACCAATATTGTCCTAATGACATACTGTCAATATATTTTTTTTTAATCTTACAAAGGACAAATTAGTAAACTATTAGAACTGAGCAATTAATAGAATTTGTTAATTGATTAATCAATGTGTTCATTAATCAGTTATGTCACAGAAGCAAAAAAGAGGGGTAAACAGTGGTTGTTATCGAAGTAAAAACAACTTAGACTGTGGTGAGTAGAGTACAGAGGGGCCTATTATTGTAGTTTTATGTTTGACAATAAACAAATAGAATGGAAATATTTTTATTAATCGGGTAGTTGGAATAATAAAAAAATAGTAATAATTGGAAATCCTAATTTTGATAAGTTGATTATTTTTGTGAACTGAACAAAATTGAATTACTCAAAAATATTAAGGAAAAATCATAATACCAATAAATCAATATCACTAGATAGTTGAAATAATTGAAAACAATAATAATCTGAAACACTAATTTTGATTAATTGATTATTTTAGAGTTTTTCATTTGATATGTCATTATTTTGTATGCTTGTATTTGAAGCGGCCTGGGATGTTCACTGTTTGTGACAAATCTTTATTTAAAATCATAACTGTTTGTGAAACATTTTACCAAGTATTTGTTAATTCTGATGGTTTCCAATGCTAAGTGTACGTAGTTTGTGTGCGTTATACTATATATATTATGCTTTCAGTTATATTGAGAGTATATAGGTGAAAATTCAACACTGTATAACAATGATGAAAAATAACAAGAATGAAACTTGAAAACTAAAACTGCTGCTCACAACAAAATTCAAAATTATATTTATCGAAACAAATCCAAATAAAATAAATCCAGTACTATGCCAGTAACACATATAGAAAACAAGAAAAGTAAAAGATATAACATTTGTCAAAAACAGACATAATTCAAGAAGTGTAGATAAATTTTGTTGTGAGTTACAGTTTGAATTTCACTCCTGATATTTTACTTTTGTATTCTATATCTTTTCATCATTATTATGTAGCCTGTATCCTCTTGATTCAACTTATAGTGTTAGACTAGTTTTATATATTTATAATTGAATGATGATGTTAAGGGAAGAGGATAGGTACTGTGAAGCTAATTTAACATCGTTAATGTTTTTTAGGTGTGACTAACATAGCTACAACTGGCTGTGGATAGTGAGTGGTAGTAGATTTTGGGGGTTAAAGCTCCCAATGCCTAAATCTAATTTAATATTCCATGCTAACTGTCTCATTGTTCACCTGTGTATTTTGGATTATATCTGTTAGATGAGGTATTCCCAAAGTGTTTGGGAGCTATTGCCACTGACATTTGTATTTTAAAAATTATATCTTTTGTACTTTGTTGAAAAGTGGTTTAATTTTCAATATTCTTGTTTGTGTATATCTTACTGGAATGATAGTGGATTTTGTTTATTTGAACTTGTCTTTATAGACCTATTCATTTCTGAAATTTGTTGTCTGTAATAGATTTATTTTATGAGTTTCATTCTCAATATGTTGGTTTTGCTTTATTTATTTTTATCAA